AAAAAAAAAGTAGAGAAGGAGAATAATAAATGAAAAAAAAAATGGGAAAAATGCAAAAAGAAAATCAAAGAACAGTGTTAACCACAAGAATAAAGGGGGAAAAGAAGAAAGAAAAAAAACTTAAAAAAAAAAAAAAATTCAACCACACACAGAGAAAAGAAAAAATGCTGAAAACTAGGACCTGGTAAGGGGAAGATTAAGAATAATAATAAAAAGGACAAAAGTATTAATAATATTAGTTGTTTTTAAAGAGACAAATACAAGCAAAGTAATCACCAGAAAAAAGAAAACAAAAAAGAAAAAAATAAAAATAAAAAAAGAGGAAAAAAAAAATTGGTGGGGAACAGGGCAAGGCACCCAGGCTCCGTCTTAGCACACAGAATGTAATGGAGTTCCTGTGGGCCCAGAAGGTAGGTGGGAGTAGGGGATGGCTGCATCTCCGTTCACCAAGCACGTGTGGGGTATAAGAGTAACAAGAGGAATATCGTACCTTGTCATTCTTGCAGGTCCCAAGTGTCTTTGGGGTTGTTGGAAAGCAGAACGGGTTCTTAAGCCCCAGGAATCTGCGAGAGCATTGTCTCTTTAAATATCCAAAATAGTCAAGCCGCTTTTTAAACCTTCAAAATGGCGGCCCCTCCGGACTGGCAAAAGTCCCCAGCTCAGCCCACCTTTCTCTTCACCTTCTCCGTTTGTTCCCCAGCAACCGTGCACAGTCCTCCATGCAGTCCCTGGGTAGCAGGGTGATTTTTAGGTTAATTCTTAGGTCCTACCACCACTCGTGAATCTCCAAGCTGTCTGTGCCGTCAGGATCGCTCAGGGTCGCTGCCAGACCACAGCTCCGTGTGTCTCCTTTTTTGGTATTTTCACACAAATTCTTGCTAGTTGGGGTTTAGTCGACTTCTATATCCTTCCCTTCATGGCTTAGGGGTCCAGGATTATCTTCTGTGTCTGTGTTAATTGATTTCTCATTTCTTTGTTGAAGAGGGTCTGTGCAGTCTTTTTGCCTAGTCCGCCATCTTGCCAGATCTCCTTGCCTTTTATTTTTAAAGAGAACAAAAATTACTTATTTTTAAAAAGGATAAGTATCTCAACTTTGATAACATGTGAGGTAAGGAAATACTAAGGTTATATAAAAAAAAGATTTTACTTCTGCTCGTGTAACTGACAATGAAAACGGGATGTTCACCAGCTAACTGTGTCAGAGAACCATCTGGGGGCTTTTTTATGGCCAAACTGTTTTAAAGAATAAAGAATAATTTTTTTTTTTAAATTTTATTGTGATATGGGTGAAAGTTTACAGAGCAAATTCATTTTCCATGCAGCAGTTCACATATACTTTGTCTCATGACATTGACTGCAATTTCCCACAATGCAGCAGCTCCCCTCCCACTTCCTCCCCATAGTTCTTTCTTCCCTGTGTCCTTCTATCCATGCATTCCTGCCCCTTGACCCATCTTCCTGGGATACACAGCCCTCTATTCGCCCATGATTGATCTCTCCAGGGAGTGTATCTA